GGACCCGCCATGAAAATAGAGGAGACTAACACTAGCTGGTTTCATTACCGCCCAGTAGCCATGAAGTTGCCTCATTAAAGGAGGAAACAGCAAATGCTCCTCATCAGCGTAATCAGGGATGCATTCGGGACGCTTTTATCTCTTCACTTTAATCAAGACTTGCATTTTATTACCAGGAACGTTTTTGCAATACCACATTTACAGGTTATCTGTACAGGATGGTGATTAAAATAATACTTATTTTTAAGCCACATCACCCCAAAATTAACTCGGGTACACGTTATTATTTGACTTAAAACACATCACTGGTACCCCCATTACTTTAAAGTTGACATTTTATCATTCTTTTTAAAACACATTTTATTGATTGGTTAGAGAGGAAGGGAGAGGTAGAGAGACAGGGAAACATTGATGAGAGAGAAACATCAATCAGCTGCCTCCTGCGCTCCCCCTGCTGGGGATGGAGCTCAAACCTGGCCATGTGCCCTGACCGGGAGTCAAATCAGCGACCCTTTAGTGCATGGGGCGATGCTCAACCACTGAGCGACCAGCCCGGCTACATGTTCTCATTCTTAATACACAGAATGGCCTGATCTTTATTCTCCAACCTCGTCTCCTATCACGTCCCAGATACCTTTACTTCTAAGCGCACCAGACTATGCAGTGCCTCTGGCCGCCGCGCTGTGCTGTTCTCAGCACTGTGATCCCTCACCCCCCGCCCCCCCTCCCGGGGCACGCCCCACCGCATCCCCCTGAAGACCTATTTTCTTCAAAACCCGGCCCAAGTGGTCCCCCCGCCCCAAAGCTTTCCTCGATCCCTTCAAGCAGATTCAGTGTTTCCAGTGTGCTGAGTGAGTCAATGAATATAAAACACTACAGCGACCTGAATAAGTTAGACCACTAGACGTGGACCATGCTACGTAGCCTCTCTGTATGTTTCTAGTTTGACGAAAATGTTTTCCCTTTCAGTCTGGAGAAAAACGGAGGGCCGTGCATAAATCTTCTCTCCAGAAAAGGTAATTGATTTCTCTTTTCTCTCCGGGGTGCCTTCTGGCCCTGGCACTCTGTAATCCTTTGTTCCATGTATAAAAATTCAAAAAGGCGGGGCTACTGAAAAGGCGACCTGCAAGCGTTTGTGTTTGGAATGCTGTACACCTAACATATCTTCCCATGGATAAGCCAATGTGACACATTTCTTTTTTTAAAAAAAATATGTTTTTATTGATTTCAGAGAGAAAGGGAGAGGGGGAGAAAGAGATAGAAGCATCAATGATGAGAGAGAATCATTGATTGGCTGCCTCCACACCCCACACTGGGGATCCAGCGCAAAACCCGGGCATGTGCCCTGGCTCATAGGTCAGCGCTCAGGCACCGAGCCACGCCGGCCGGGCTGACACTTCACGGCCTTCCTTCCCAACACCAGTCGGCAGGAACTCCTCCTCCTTCGCCCTTTCTCACAAGCCACGCACAGTGCTAGGTCGTTACGGAAACAGCAGGTACTGGTAAGTATGACTCAGCCACGCCCTTGCTATTGTTCTGTGCCGTGTACGCCTTGTCTCGTGAATTCGCAGGGCACAGCCCACCTTTCCCTTATCCTCCGTACAGTGTCACACACAGTGGGGGGATGCCCTGGAGACCCAAGTCCAGCCCTGATAATGGTACCCAGCCGGGCCCCGTAGACAGAGGCCAGGAAGAACGGCTTGTCGATTTCACGTTTAGCTTAGTGCTTGCTCGAGTGTGCTTGGTGGAGGGCCAGATTCCGTCTTGCTCGGTGTAGTCACTGCCCCACAGGGGAAAGCAAGGGCGGGCCATTCAGAGGTCCCTGTGCTCCCGTCACGAGTGGGAAGGGAGAGAAGAGGAGAGAGAACAAGAGGAGGAGAACGAGCCTCATTTACTCCATCTGAGGGAAGCGAGAGGTGGACGGAGGGGAGGCTGTATCTCTGACTATCGGGGTGAAAGGATGTTTGGTGCAGGCACAGCTCCTTCGTCAGGCTCATGCTTTGTTTACTTTAGTATTGATTTCCAAACAGCCTGGGTGCCAGGCACAGGCTGATGAAGCTTTTGCAGGTGTGTGGCAACATAAGAAAAGATGTGGACAATGGAGAGAGTTTGTGGACAAAGTTAATGTCATTCAAGGGGAAGGCCATCCCTTTGAGAGAACGCCTTTGACACTGTCTTTTGGTGTTAAACTATCCCTTCTTTCACAAAAGCATATTTAAAACAGTTGACATTTGGTCCTCTGTTAGTGCCAACTTGGCACAGTAAAAAGTCGGCCACCATATGTGTGGCTGCCCCGAGGTTTTGCCCGGTGACACGAAAGCCTGGAAGCTGCTGAGCTGTCTCTTCGTGTGTTTGGAACGGGAAGGAAGCGGAACGATGCAGAACTAAGGGAAGGAGGCCGTGGCGATATCCTGAGGCTCAGACCTTTAACTGTGGCTCTTACTTCTTAGGGAGCGAGCACCGAAGAAAGCTAAGACCGAAAATTCAACCCCGGGATTCCTTGACCTTATTGCCTCCTGTCACTAACTTCATGGGACTCTTCAAAACCTCCAAAAAGTCCGCTGTGTCTCATAACATTTTTTCCTTTGCATCTGCAACGTCCTCAGATGTCATCCAAGTGTCAAGACCAAGAATAGTATTGCTGAGCAAACTTGGGAAACACGTTCAGAAAGATAACGTTGAGCCTGCAGAAGGTTAATAAACGCATTGCAGTGTGAACGGATCCCTGAGCAACTTTTAAAAACATTTTTATTTTGTTGTTATATTTTTATTGATTTCAGAGAGGAAGGGAGAGAGAGAAACATCCATGATGAGAATTATCAATCGGCCGCCTCCTGCACGCCCCACACTGGGGATGGAGCCCGCAACCCGGGCCTGTGCCCTTGCCCAGAATCAAAGTTGGGACCCTTCAGTCCGCAGGCCGACGCTCTATCCACTGAGCCACCCCAGCCAGGGCCAAGTGTTTTATTTGTAATTGTGGTAAAATGCATGTAACATAGTTGCGTCATCTGTTCTAATGGGGGTTCTTGATGTCGACACTTAGCAGATCGCCTTCAGCCTGTCTCCCGGGTTAAACCAGGCCAGACTCCAGTCTCAACAGATGAGTAGAAGTTTCCGGAAGGGAAGGCCTGCACTGACACCAGAGCAGAGCCGCTGGCCGGTGGCATCGTGGGTACCTGTGTCACGTGCTGTAAAGACGTTTAAACTGGGACGCTGCCCACAGGGTCACGCTCACGGTAATGCCTGGAGGCATCGAAGGACCAATACCACAAACGCATGAGGCTTCTCACACCCGAAACGTATGCCTTTAAACATTTATTTAAAAAGAAAAGCCTGAGCTCACGACCATCGGGTACAAACGTGTGGCTGAGAAATGTGGCGGCCGCCTCGACCACCGCCACGCTGACTGAGGGCCTCCTTCGGGGTGTCACGGAGGGGGGCTCCCCTGTGGATCAGGACCACGTGGAGGCGGGGGCGGGAGTTACTCATGGAATTCCCCGAAGGGAAGTGCCTTTAAGGCAGGACCAAGCTAAGGAGTCTTGTCATTGTATTTGTATCCTTACCTCCTAGGCCAGTGATGGCGAACCTTTTGAGCTCGGCGTGTCAGCATTTTGAAAAACCCTAACTTAACTCCGGTGCCGTGTCACATAGAGAAATTTTTTGATATTTGCAACCATAGTAAAACAAAGACTTATATTTTTGATATTTATTTTATATATTTAAATGCCATTTAACAAAGAAAAATCAACCAAAAAAATGAGTGTCATAGGTTCGCCATCACTGTCCTAGTCTCTCCATACAGCAAGCCACTGACTAGACAGTTAACACCTTGTCCCGCATGGATGACATCATATAAAAGCTCCCGGTGAGATCTCTCAAAGGACATCGAACACTCGATAGCAACGTCCTTACAGTTAACGTCACTCTAATCCAGGCAGGGGGAAAGGGACAGACTGTTGGGACACCTGCAGTACAAAGTTCCAGATTCAAGGAAATCACCCCCAAACAAAACCAAACCCTTTTCGTCACATACACTTTCATCAACTGAATAAAATTTCTCAAATAATGGATATAAATATATGTGGTCAACTGAAAAGTGCAGTGCAATAGGGTGGTGAAGGCCTGGGAGGGGCCGGTGCGGGGGGGGGGGATCGGGAAAAAGAGGGGTCACCGTAATACTTTCAACAATAGAGGAATTTTTTTTAGAGTACAATGCACAACGAGAAGTTACTTGCACGCCCCTTGTTAAAATCTCAGATGGGTTTTCAGAAACGTAGACACATTCTGTTTGCTCCAGAGAACATACCTGTATGACAGGTATGTTTATACTTAACAGACATTCCGCTTGCCAAAGTTACCTTTTGTCTTTAGAATTCTGTGATTGACACGATTTTGGCCTGGCTCCCTTTCTAAAACTCTTCTCTCATTGGGAAAGTCAGGCTAATGTTTCAGCAGAAGCCCCCCCTCCTCCTCCCCACCCCCGCCTGCTCCCCAAAAAAAGCTCCCCCTGCTCTGACATGAGAAAGGGGGGAGACCCAGGCCTGCACACACGGGCCAGAACTCAGCAGAGCCACCGCCTTTCTCCCTGCAGGGCCGGTTCTCTACCTGCAGCATCAGCGCATCCTGCCCCGCCAGGTGCTCGCCTGTGGTTTCTGATTTAAAAACATATGTTCTCTTATACGACAATAACACTGCTAATCTCTCAAAAGAGCAGGTGCTAAACATCAAACGCAAGAGAAGGAATAACAGAAGTCTTGATGAGCAATATTACGTATCTCCTACAATTTGATATCCAAAAAATCCAAACCGAAATGTTGAAATATTACCTTTAGGGATTTTTGAAAAGCACAAATCAAATCTTCATTTTTTAAAAAAATATATTTTTATTGATTTCAGAGAGGAAGGGAGAGAGAGAGAAACGTCAATCACTGGTTGCCTCCTGCACGCCCCCTACGGAGCATCGAGCCTGCAATCCGGGCCTGTGCCCTGACCGGGAATTGAACCAGGACCTCCTGGCTCATAGGTCGACCCCAACCACGGAACCACGCCGGCCGGGCTCAGATCTTCATTTTTAATTGTGGAACTTTTATGGCGGCTTCTCCAACTTCTTTGGATATATCCACCCCCAGAGGACATCTGCATCAGAATCAGACAAATCACGTTACTGCAAACGTTGGCTTCCTCCTCTGTCCCTCGTTCTACAGACTGTGTGCTTAGAATTCTAACAACATACATACCTAATTTATAATTAATCCCAGGTGGTGGTAGCTCTTAAATAAAAACAAATAGGATCTCAAACCAGAATAATGGGTGAAGAAAGGCCAGTTCCATTAATAAATCTAAACTTGGAGACTTTTTAAAACCACTTTGAGGTATATTTGACATTTCTAAAAAGCTACACATATTTAATATATACAACCCAATGACTTTGGGGATTGAGATGTTTTGAAAGAAATAATTCTACACATCTCAAATACTGTAAATAAATAAAAACTTAAAATGAAGTAGAAAAATAACAAAAAAAGTCTTATGATTCTCTATAAAGCTAAGAAGGCGAAATAGTTCACATGTAGCTGAAGGCAAACCTGCACCCCTTCCTACCCTACCCATCCCCCAGGTTCCCACTGCTTCCTCTCTGAGGCGTCACCACCTGGCTTGCTCCTTGTCTGCCTTCCTCGGTCGCTACTGGCAGGAGAGGCCGAGATCCGACCCTCTTTCTTTGTTCTTCCTTAGTTCATGATTCTGGCTTCTGATTTCTGCTATTTCACTCTGTTACCCAACCTGGAGAAAGCCACCGTCCCCAGCCTCCACACTGCCCAGGGGAGGCACCAGTGCAGCAGACGGTGGATTCCACCAGAGGCTGGGCCATCTACACGGGGGCGGGGCCGGGGGGGGGGGGGGGTTCTGCCACCACCAGCTAACTCTGCTCATTTATAATCAGCCCTAAGCGTCTGGTTCATGCAGCGACAGTGAAGGACTCCAACACGGAGAAGTTTAAAGCATCAGATGAAACAATGTAGACACAGAACTGTTAGGTCCGGGAACATAACCATCCTTCGCGGATTTACGAGTCCAGGATTAACTGAGCCGGGAACTTGGTGACAGACGGAGAAACCGCGCTCCTCGCTGGAGCTCTGACCGGGAGACAGAGGACGGCGCACGGAGAGCAGCTGCCGGGGCCGCGTCTCAGCTGCACGGGGCAGAGCACACTCGCAGCCCAGTCCCCACCAGGATGCCTGGTGCACACTTCCCTCCGTTTCCCAGCATCCTCGCTGGTTCCGAGATGGATGTGACATTGCAAAAGGCAGGCCAGGGACCTGGTTTCCACTGTTTCCAAATGAAGGAATCCATCACCCTTACCCATCACCTGTTTCTAACCTGAATTTGAAATTGTAGCAAACATAGGTTCATGAAAGAAACGAATGTAACCAGCAGATCAATGAAAACCTCACATATAAAAGCAACATCCCGGCTTTGACTCTGATAATGCAACTTTGCGTAAAGATAGGAAGGGTGCCACCTACTTCGGTTCGTAGCGGACGCCTTCTGTGTCGTATAAAATGCCCACGCCGGCGCGCAGTCTCTCAATCCCGTTCCTAGACCAGGATCATCGCACAGCGTGAGCAGCCCCGAGTTAAAGGAAGAAGGTGGAGCACAATGAAAGGGCGGTTCATATCGACCTCGTGCTGAGGGAGGCACGCGTGTCCCGGGGCTTACCACGCGATCATCACGCCGTTGTCCGTGCACAGTCTGGGGGGAGGACACAGCAGAGCGCACTGGGTGGCGTCTGTTACAAGTTCCAGAGCTTTTCGGATGTAGAAGTTGCTGGCAACTCCTCCAGACACAACCTGGAGGAACCGAGAAGACCAAGAGGAACAGGTGTCCATACGGACGTCAGCCAGGCTGGCAGCTAACCTGGGAACGGCAGCAGCATGCAATCCAACACCACATCTGACAGATGGGCGACGGGCAGGTGAAACATCTGCAGAATAACGATTTGGAGAAAAATACCACAGAACACTTCACATCAGCGTGTAATCGCTCCTCTCGTTTTTGTGTTCTTTCCCTCTGACCTTTTTCTAAGGACAGTCAGAGTACAATACCTTACCAGGGGTTGGCAAACTCATTAGTCAACAGAGCCAAATGTCAGCAGTACTTCTTCAAAATAGACTCGCCCAGGCCGAAAACCGACTTCTGCGCATGGGCCACGAAGTTTCAATCGCACTGTACATGCGTGCCCGCACGTGGTATTTTGTGGAAGAGCCACACTCAAGGGGCCAAAGAGCCGCATGTGGCTCGCGAGCCGCGGTTTGCCGACCACGGCCTTAGACCCTGGAGTTTTTACTTATAAGCACTTTTTTCTTAAACAATCCTTTAAGAACGATCGCCTTTGATATTCCAGTCTGTGCATCTACCGCCATCTAAATATCGTCTCACTTCCTAATTTTCAGAAAACTGCACTTTAAGACACAGTTACCCGAGGTTTACCAAGGCTGTAAACACACGCGAGGGAGTTCATCAAAGGAGCACAAGTGTTAAGGAAATCAGCCTGTTTTCCTAAAAACCATGCCACCGGCTCCTGCCGTTCCTTCTAATCGTGGAGCCTCTGAAATGCACGAGCAGACGGCCTGGGGCTTCCTGGGCACACGGCTGTGCACACATCCCCTAACGCTGCCGCCTGTCCTGTACAGGGAAGGGACGTGGTCTTCACTCCGCACATTGAGAGCCCATCCCTCAGGTGCTCAGGCGGCTGGGCCGCCCCGCCCTCCCCCCCAGAACAGCCTCAGCATAGAGGGCGCCACTACTCCAGGGGGACAGGCTCACCAGGGCGAGGGGCTCACCAGGGCGAGGGGCTCACCAGGGCGGGGGGT